GCAGAGGAACTCAATTGAGGGACAGAGGTCCGGTCACAAGTAGCAAGCCACTGCTCAAATGCTTCTGGAAAACTGCTCTCTTCCTCTGTGGCACTCACTGAGGATGATCRAGATGGTCCCGGAGCGATTTATGCCCAGGCTCCATGACTTTTATTGCACATCTTTGCTAGGATAGCACCTGGGCATTTTGTGAAGTTTAACCACCCTGGTACCATGGTTTTTGTCACCACTGATTGGTTTTGTGACAGAAGAACCTCCTCCTTTCAATGTTCCATTTAGCAGCTGAGTACTCTATCTTGTATTTCTGCCAATTCCTCTAATCATGACAGGTTTTTGGCTGCACTGGGTCTCCATTTCTTGAGTGCCTTAACCTTCGGATTTCCCTTTTTACTGTGCCAATGGCATCGGGCTTCTTGGTTCCAGGTTTCGTCTCCTTAGTGACCGGCTTCTCAGCTTTTTCACCTGTTATTTTGCAAGATGGGAAAGAGAACCAAGTCCCCTACTTGCTTTTTTCCTTTGGTTAAAAARTGTCCAAACGGGGCTCCGGGTGTGACTCAGTGGTATGCTCAAAGCTTCCATCCTAAGCATTGCAAACACCAAAGCACAAGAGCATCCAAACTGGGCACAGTGGTGCACACCTGTAATCCCAGTGGCTTGGGAGGCTGACACAGAAGGATCGCAAGTTCAAAGCCAGCCGTAGCAAAAGTGAGGCGCTAAGCACTCAGTAAGACCCTGTCTTATTTAACCCTGTTTTATTTAAAACACAAAATAGGGCTGAGATATGGCTCAATGGTTGAGTGTCCCTGAGTTCAATCCCTGGTACCAAACACACACACACACACACACACACACACACACACACACACACCCCTAGGAGAACACATTTTGCAGGACAGCTCTTTATTGGTTCTGTGTGAGGCTCCTGACTTAGGTGAAGAACTGAAAGAGATGAAAGAGGTTACCAGGAAGTCACCAAACTAAAGATATGTATGATCTCTTTGCCCTGCTAATTTTTCAGATGTGCTGTGCTGTATTCTAGTCATCAGAAGAGCACTAATTATCCAAAATAAGGAAAGTTCACATATACTGGGGAGAAATCAATAATAGATGAAGATGTTATTCATCGCCTGTGGTCAGATGTTTGAGAGAATGTGTGTGTGTGTTACTGAGGATTGAATCCACAGGTGCTTTACTGCTGAGCCACAACCCCAGTCCTTTTGTTTATTTTTCTGAGACAGGGTCTTGCTAAGTTGCCAGTGCTAGCCTGGAACTTTTGATCCTCCTGTCTCAGCCACCTGAATTATGGGGATTACAGGCATGTGCCACTGTGTCCTGTCTGGGGTCAGATTTTCTTAGGTATTTATAGTTTTGTTTCACAATCCTGAGCTACKTAGGGCTTCAGAGATCTGGCCTTAAATGTTACTGAGTAACTGCCAAAATGATCTATGACTCATGAAGTCATTGGAACAAAGTATAGAGATGCTGAAACATTTATGGAATTTTACCTACTCTATTGTCTTKGAAGGCTAGCGACAAAGTAATGTATGAGTCCCCAGAATAAAACCACAGTGGAATGTTTTTAATCCAAAATTGAATTATTTTAAGATACAGCTTGGTTTGCTAAGAATGTCTGATTCCACCCTTCATTGGCTGTGGCACACAAAATCTCAAGCTACTGAGGCAGTCCACTGACAACCTGCTTTGACCTCTTTGACCCTGTAGAATGAGTGGCCTAGCTTTGGGTGTCCATAGCATCAGTCCATGGGTGGAGTGGGGTGGGAGGAAGAATGGGTAGATGGAAGCATACCGGGTACTTAGGATATATGGGTGGTCAGGAGGGTCGATGGAACAGCATTTGATGGATGGGGTGGGTGATCAGGCAGGTGGGTAGATGAGAAAGAGGATGGATAGAAGCTGAGTGGGTGGGTAGGGGAAGCCGATAAGCAATATATTAATGGAGGGGGTGGGTGTTGATGGGTTGGTGAACTTGAAGTTCACAGGGCTTTGAAAAGTAACTGAGGTACCTTGGGAAGTCCGATGAGGATCTGATGAAGAGATTCAGCTGGAAAAGTGGATGAAAAAAATCCCACTTCAGCTTTCAAGTTGTTCCTCAGCAGATGCTCTACTTGGTATTCATTGCCACCTTGGCTATTGTCTTCAGAATCCAGTGTCAAAAATCAGAGAAGGGAAGGTGGTGTGGTTGCAGTGCCCTCTGGTGGTTACTTGAGGATTTGGCGTTCTATATCTTTTCCTTAAGGATTCTTCATTGTCTGTTCTTCCCCACCTCCACCCCAACCAAACACAAGAATATAATCTCCCTGAGGTCAGATAATTTTATTTTCTTTTACTCATAGTTTCATATTCACCATCTGGAAAAGTTCCTGACACATAATAGGTGTTCAAGAAACACTTATTAATGACAGATTTTAAATTCTGCCCCACCCACTTTATTGATGGGTGACCTTGAGCAGCTCTCTTAACTTTATAAAGCTTTGATTTCCTTGTGAGTAAAATGAAGATGCTAACACCCACCCCCCCACAAGCATTAACCGAGGGAAGGGGACATGTACTGGACCCGGCCACTCAAGTCATTTCTTTTCTTCCCATCCACCAGCTCCCATTGGTGCATCATATACTGATGGCAGTATATAATTTTCATTTAGCAAATTGATCTGATGGGCACATTTGCCAAATTAGCTTTACATCTGGGCATGGGCCAACTTGGGGAAATGATCCAGGATTAGTCTGAGACTGGCCAGGCAAGGAGGAAGTGTAGCCAGCTAGACAGGAAGATCCCAAGGAGGTGTGAGATTCCTTTCCTGCCACCCATCCCTCCCTCCCCACCCCCACAGCCACACCCCATTGTTCCTCCATCCAGAACCCAAAGGGCTCCCTCTGTCCCTGAGGCTTTGCTTTGCACATTCTCCATCTCCTGCCTGCCTTCCTTTCTCTCCAACCCCATGGGCATGACCTGCATTCAAGCCCTCTTGGACAGCCTCCTCCTGACTCTCTGCCTCCACTCTGCCCCCTCAAATGCACCTTCCTGCAGTGGACTGGATCTAAACTACAAATAGGCTTATCTCATTTTCCAGCTTGAATCTGATTGTTCTTGGGACACAGTCCAACTCCTCTGACCTACCACTTTGTGGTCTGGAGCCAGCTCATCTCCTCGCCATCTCATCTTTCTTGATTCCAGTTTCAAATCTGACACCACACAATGCAAGCTATTTCTACCTCTGGGCCTTTGCCCATGCAGTCTCTTCTGCCTGGAAATCCATCCCTCTGCAAGAAAGGGTGTGTGCTGCTTTAGTTCACCCAAGATCCATTTCCTTTTCCTCTGGTAATGGATTCCTGCCCGCCACCCCTCCATCCCCATTCCCCCCCTAGGTCTCAATTTGGAGATTCCTGTAAGGGCCAATAAAGTGAGGTCCTAAGCAACTCAGCAGAAACCCTGTCTTTAAATAAAATATTAAAAAGGGCTGGGGATGTGGCTCAGTGGTTCAGGACCCCTGGGTTTAATCCTTGGTACCCCCCCCCCAAAAAAAAGTGACCTTAAGATTCAACCTGGCAGATTTCTTTTTTCATTGCAATGCTGTGGGTGTGACATATATCCTCCACAGCTTATCCTCCAGCCACACCCACACCCACACCTCCCTCCTGGCCACAGCCCACTGTCTTCATTTCATCCCAGTTTCACCCATTTAGTTTATCCATTTTGGTCCTGGAGGTGTTTTAGTTTGGGACTCCAGGTTCACACCTTGCTGCTCTCCGGCTGATTCTCCCCTGAATCCTACGTGTTTTGCCTTCCAGTTCCCAGGTCACCGCTGAGCCCGAATCTTCTGCTCTGCTGCCCAGGAGTGCCCCTGTTCTAGAGGGGTTCAGTTCTCTCCCTTCAAGCATGAGGAGCAGGGAAGGCCACCTTGCTGATGTATCTTGCTTCTCTTTAAGGAAAGAGAGGAGGACCCAGGGTGGAGGTGGGAATTAGCGTAGGTACATCGCCCACCTGGCACTTCTGAGCTGAGACCTATGGGAATAACCCCTTTGGCTCAGCGCTTCACCCAAGGCCACATTTAGGTTAGTCTAGCATCTCCATCTGTCTGCCTCATGCTTCCTAGGTAAATGCTAGGATTGAGAGGAGTGTGAAGGCAGCCATGGAGGTGAGCAGGACTTAGCAGTGTGTGCTTGGGAGCTGGCCTGTGTCCTCTGCTTAGATCCCCAGGTCCTGACGTAGTGACATGGACCCTCCACCTGCCTCATCCTCACTCCCTCACTGACCTTTGCTCTGGCCCCAGCAGCTGTGTCCACCATCTTCCCCACCAAGTGTTAGCCCCATGGGGCCAGATCCTACAAGGCCCTCACCTGAATGGGAGTCTTTCGTTTTGGGAAGGATGCATAATGGGGTGTTGGAGACCCTAGAAGTGAGAAGGGGACAGGTTCTCACTGCCACCAAAGAGCTTCCAGAAGCAGGTAAAGGGCAAAAATTCCTAATAACTGGTACTAACACAGGCATCGGATGGAATGTTCCCACTGAATAGCAGACCTCATGCCACATAATCTTCATATAGAAAAACTATTGATTATAAAACATCTTATTTCTCAAAGAACACTATCAGTTAAACTATGAGCAACACTTTCTTATTGCTTACAGTTTCTATTTTGTACATATGGAAAGAACTATTTTTAATTCAGGCAAGATGGCCCGTGACTATAGTGCCAGCTACTAGGGCAGCTAAGACAGGAGGAGCACTTGAACCCAGGAGTTTGTGTCTAGCCTGGGCAACAGAGTGAGAGAGACCCTGTCTCTAAAAGAAGAAAGAAAAAAAGAAAGCTATCTTGGGCTATTTCAATATGGATTTTCTTTTCCCAGTGCTGGGATCAAACCCAAGAGCTTATGCATGCCAGTCAAGTGCTCTAACATTGCAAGCCCCTTCAATATAGATTTTGTTAGGGGAGTTTACTAGGGATTGAACCCCGGGGCACTCTTCCACTGAGTCACATCTTTCTATTTATTTAAATTTTGAGACAGGGTCTTGCTAAGTTGCCAGTCCATTCAACATTGGATTTATATTGTGTATCTATGAGCTTCATGCATAGGCCACAGTGGTTGCACGATGACAGGGGTCTTGCTATAAAACTCTGTGGAGCATTGCTGATTAAAGGGGCACCCTGACATCATAGAAGACAGCAGGTGGAAAAAAAAATGTGCATCTTGGAAAAGATGAACGATGATGGTCTCTAATACTTACTGACCACTTGCTATGTTATAAATATCAAACCCCCATAAGCTTGGGTGTTTATTAGGCCCATTCTACAGATTAGGAAATTGAGGTGAAGTCAGTCCCTGGCAGGTCACAGAAGCAGTAAATGGCAGAGCTGGAGCCAAATCCAGCCTAATGCTGAGTGTATCCTGTTGGCCACTGAACCTAAAGATGTGGAACATAAGGGTCCCAGCAGGTCATGTCGACACTGCTGTGCTGGTATCCTCTTTGGCTTTAGGAACGGCGGGAATAGGGCACTGGAGTGGCCCCTTCAGCAAACAACTTGAGGGAGAAGTCAAGGGCCGGGGCAGCCTGGGTCAACATCCCCAAAGAGATGACATCAATGTGGGGCCCACAGAACTGAGAGATGTTGCTCAGCGTGACACCCCCACTGGCTTCCACAGCTACTCTTGGGAACTGGGCCTTCAGTGCCTGGGCTATAGGATGCAGCTCCTGCAAGACACAAGCAAAGGGGAAGTGAGAGCCCCCAAAAGCCCCCTCCCAGGAATCAGAGGCCACCTCACCTCAGGCTTGAAGTTGTCCAGCAGAACCAGGTCGGCCCCAGCCTCAGCTGCATGCACAGCCTCCTGCAGGCTGCTGCACTCCACCTCCACCTTCAGAGTGAAGTCGACTGCCTGCCGGGCGCTCCTGACTGCCTGCCAGGCCGAGGAGAGAGAGGGGGAGGATGGGTGGCCTGGCACCAGGCACTGGGGCCCCAGGGAGAGGGCACTGGCATTCAAAATGGCCCAGGTGGATACCGAACCTGGGATTGATGAGGAAACCGATCSGGGAGGTTCTATGAGGTTAAACCACATAAGAGGACCATGGTTGGGGGTGAAAAAAAAGAACCTGAGCTCAGCTGGACTCAATATTCAAATTAAAGGACCCACACCGAGGGTGGCCCTGTGCCACAGCTTGGGAAATAGGCCAGAGTTCAAGCGATCCACCCAAGGTCCACCGGATTGACAGTGCCATTGACAGGCAAGTCTGACTGCCACCTGAGCAGATGGGACAGCTGGGGGTGGAGCAGTTGTTTCCCTGACCCCCAGCCACCAGGCACTTGTGGGGGCGAGGGTCAGATCGGAGCGCGGCAGGGACTCGGCCGACACGCACCTTCTCCACACCGCCGGCGGCCACCACGTGGTTGTCCTTCACCATCACCATCCCTCCCAGGTCGTAGCGGTGCGACGCAGCCCCGCCCACCAGCAGCCCGTACTTCTCCACCAGCCGGAAGCCTGGCGTGGTCTTCCTGGTGCCCGCCACGTGCCCTGTCCAGCCAGTGCCCCTGGCGATCTTCACAGCCGTGGCGGCAGCGCTGGCAATGCCACTGCAGCGGGCCAGCATGTTAAGGGCCACCCGCTCCCCCAGGAGCAGGCGGTGGGCGGGGCCCCGCACCTCCGCCACCTGGACCACGGGTACCAGCTGCGATCCCTCGGGGAGGAGCCAAGTGACCTGGCAGTTGAGTTGGGCAAAGATGGCATCGAAGAAAGGCCGCCCAGCCAGGACCCCGGGGGATTTGGCCCACAGAGCTGCCTGCGAGGGGGCGGCCCCAGTGACCAAGGCGGCGAAGTTGAGGCCTGGGCAGTCTTCTCGGAGCCAGCTGTCTGCCAGGGCTGCCAGGGTGGTTGGGGGCAGCAGCAGAGATAAGCCTGGGAGGGAAAAAGAGAGACAGCTGTGGCGTTGGACTACCTCCCTTGTAGCCAAGGGTGACAGTCAAAATAGTTAACAACTTATTAAATAGGACACCTAGCACTCAGGATGAGGACCAGGATCTCAGGGAAGGGACTGTCACTCAGGGTGGGAATGGTGCGTTTGTACAAGGTTGCCAAATGGAGCAAATAAAAACACATCTAGTTAAACTTCTGATATGCATTAAAGATTTTTTAAAGAGCACATGTGCTCCTTCCTGTCATGACTGAGCTTCCCTTTTTTAAACTTTATTTACTTAGTCTTATTAGAGGTTTAAAAGGGGAGGGCATGAGAGCAACACTCTTAACAAATTTCTTTTCTTTCTTTCTTTTTTTTTTTTTTTTTTTTTACTGGGGATTGAACCCGGGGCACTTAATCACTGAGCTACACTCCCAGCCCCTTTTCATTTATTTTTTAATTTTTGAAACAGGGTCTCACTACATTGTTGAGGCTAGTCTCAAACTTGCGATCCTCTTGTTTTAGCCTCCTGAGTTGCCACCATGCCAGGCTCTTTTAACAAATATTTTAGTATTCAATGCTGTCTTGTTAACTATAAATACACTGTTATATAGCAGATCACTAGAATTTTTTTTCATTTTGCAAAACTAAAACTCTACTCATCATATAACAATCCCCCAGTCTGCTAGCAAACTATCCCCCTTCCAGTTTCCAGCAATCACCACTCTACTTTGTCTTTATTATTTTGACTATTTTAGATACTGGATTATTATTTCTTCCTCCTCTTCCTCTTCTCCTTCTCCTTCTTCTTCTTCTTCTTCTGTTTTTTTGTTTTGTTTTGTTTTTTTGAGTTGAACTCAGGGCACTTGACCATTGAGCCACACCCCCAGCCCTATTTTGTATTTTATTTAGAGACAGGGTCTCACTGTGCTTAGCACCTTGCTGTTGCTGAGGCTGGCTTTGAACCTGCCAACTCCTGTCTCAGTCTCCCAAGCCACTGGGATTACAGGCCACACCCGGCTAGATACTGGRTTTCTTAGTATACGTCCTTGATGACATTTAGAACATATTAAACATTACCTATGGTTTATCTGAAATCCAAATTTAACCGAGCGCTCTGTATTTTATCTGGCAAGCCTAGTGCTGGGTCAACAGCTAATTACCAACTAGAAGAGGAACATTTCAATATTTTAGCAACACATACAATCATCCTGTAGGCACCACCTGAAGGTCACCCTGCCTCCATTCTGGTCTGCTTTGCCCGGAAAGATTAGTTATTTATAAACTGAAGCCCTCCAGCAAAATGGGACCTTGTGTGTCCCTTTCATCCTAGTACCTCTATAGTAGCTAGCACTTTAAAGCTGGAAATTCGGAATTTTACTGACCATAGGGAAAGGACCATAGGGAAAGGCAAATGGGTGCGGGCACCGGTAAACTGGCCACAGGATCAGAACCAGCCCCCTTGTGGTCATGGCTGGCTGTCCCTCCGCATTTGGACATCTCTCTTAAGGCTGAAGCTTCAACAAACTGTGATCTCTCTAGAGATGGAGGCCGCACAAGGAGAAAACTTGGGATAACTGGTTTGAACCCCTGTTCTGAGAGACATCACTTCAAGGACGGGGGCAGGGTCTGTAATGTCCTTAACTGCCTGAACCCAGGGGCTATTCTTTCAGGACTGTTGAACTGCGTGACTGCAGAGGCAGAACCCAGACGCGGTACAACATCGCCATCTATCGGCCAGAAAAAGAGCTGCAGCCTCCTGGGCATTCGCTATCTTTGCCATTGGCTTCCAGGGGTCTAGGAGACAACTAGCTTGTGCTTTCACACACGCGCGCACATGGGCTTGCTCTACTCTCAGAAGCAGGCGCTCTCTTGTCTAGCCTTTTCCTAAAGCCAAGCACTCAATCTCCACCCACTCATCGCACCTCTCCTGCGCCCCACCCTCCTCCACACTCTCTCTCACATCTGAGCTGTGAGCTGCCTGTGCCTAGGCTGGGTGCTGAGAGCAAACCCCTTGACCCCGTGTACACCCTTCACCATCCCTGGAGGAGAAGGCCTGGGAACAAACGGCAGCCATGCAGGGACCAGCCCACCCCACTTTATTCAAACTAGTGAAACCAAGCACTGAGGATGTTTGGGTGCTTAGCTGGGTTCTGCAATTAACAAAGGATGGATGTTTTGCGGTCATTGCAGAGAATTTGTAATACGTAACACATAGAGAAAGGACAGTCTTTTCTTTTTAAGTTATTGATGAACCTTTATTTTATTTGTTTATTTATATGTAGTGCTGAGAATCGAACCCAGAGCCTCACCCATGCTAGGCAAGTGCTCTACCATTGAGCCACAACCCCAGTCCTGAGAAAGAGCATTCTTGTTCACTACCAGGAGTTTGATGAACAACTGACAGCCCAATAAGAGGGCCTTGGGGCAGCTAGGCCCATCTCTTGCCTGTCTGTTGTATAACACGTGGCTAATGAGTGGCAGGATTAGCCAAAGAAATAATGATCATTATTTCGAGAATTGCTGAAACTGAAAAACACCTCATGACTAAGTAATCAGRTAGGATGTGCATCATCCAGGCCTCTTGCTGCAGGAAGGCGCCCAGCAGTCTGGGGAACACCCAAAGGCCACCTATATAAGCCATCTTGGATCAGCTTCCTGGCAAGAAGGGCTTCCCTTTTCTCTTACTGAGCTGGCTTGCCAAATAGYCACCTTCCGAGACACAACACCTGCCGGCCTCTCAATTTAACTGGCTGATCATGGGAAAGGCAGCAGACTGTAATTCTGGCAACACAAGGTACATTGATTTTTTTTTTTTAGGCAAATTTGAATCCTTTAAATTAATAGCCAAAGAGCTCAGTATCAGATAAACAAACTGTTGCATCTATACTGTGGAATTCAACTCTGCAATAAAAAAGTAACCAACTACTGATATGCACAACAATAGGAAATTTTTGTTTCAAATRTATAATTATTTTAAGCACAAAAAGCAAGATTCAAAAGGGGATGTAGCTCATTAGTGGCACACATGGGCAAGACCCTGGGTTCAATTCCCAGTATATTAAAAAGAAAAAAGGCCACTGACTATATAACTCCATTCATATGATGCCCTAGAAAAGCAAAACTATAGCAACAGAACAAACAAATAAATRAGTGGTTGCCGGGGCGTAGGAGGGATTGACCACAAAGGGGCAGCACCCAAGGGCTGTTTGAGGATAGCACTGTCTTATCTCTTATCTGTGGTGGTGGCTATGCATTAGATGCATTTGTACCCAGAAAAGATGAATTTGACTGTTTGTAATTATACTTCATAAAAGTCATCTTTAAAATGAAACAATATAAAAAGAAAATATGAATGGATCACTCAGAGTCTGTCTTTCCAAACCAACTCAGGCTCCCCTAAACTCTTCAGTGAGGAGGCCCTCACTTTTGAACTTCTGTGTTTGTTCTGTGTTGTCCAATTTTAGCAAGAATCCTGCTAAGATCCTCCTGCCTCAGCCTCCTGAAGAGCTTGGAGGACAGGTGTGCACCACCTCACCTAGTTCGTTCATTCTTTTGACCCGTCCTTTTTGAGCACCTGCTCTCCGCCAGGTACTAATTGTTGGGTCACAATGGTGACAGACTGGGCAGCTCTTTCAGAGGTGTCTGTGCCTGTCAGTGCCTTTGTTACCATCACCCCCAAAACCCCCTCCACCTCTCGCTCCTCTGTGGGGGCTTCTCTTACACATCTTTTATTCAGTGGGCCTCACAGAGCCCTGCACTCAGCTCCCTGTCCTCTCGCCACTGCCATGCTCTGTCACTGTCTTCTCCCTACAGCGGCCTCTGCCTGCTGTTGAGTTTTCCACTGTATTCTAAGTGCCCTGCATGCTGAACTGTACAAATCTGCTGCTTTTTATAGGTTAAGAGAAAAGGTCCAATATTGCCCATTTTGTGTTAATGTTTATTTTTGAGCTGAAGTTGGACACAATATCTTTATTTTTTTATTTATTTATTTTTATGTGGTGCTGAGGATCGAACCCATGCTAGTGTGCTCTACCCTGAGCCATAACCCCAGCCATGATAGTTTCATAGTAAGTATTCAGTGAAACTTATCGCCTCAGAGGGGCCACATGTAAAACCACTCAGAACTCAGACTCCAGGACCACACCACCTGGGTTTGAAAGTATTCGCTTTTAGCTGTGGCCCATGACTTTTGGGGGGCCTTAGGTTCCTCATCTATAACAGGGGCAATAATAATAATGSCCTCATTATGTTATTATTGGGGAAGAGATAAAGGGCTGTTTTATGGATTGCTTAACCCCCAGGCACAATCTCTGAGCCAAGTCTCTGGACCTGGGGTTAGAAAATAGCAAGAGTTAACATTTGCAAAGCCCAGGGGCATCGTCTGGCACATAGTAGGTGTGTTTGCAAAAGAAGTGACTGAAGCATTTCCCAAGTGTGGTGGGGGCCCTGGAAGAAGAGGTGACTAATTGTCCCTGAGAAGGAATGAGTCATGTTTGCCAGACACGAGGTGTGGAGTGGAGGCAAGACACTGGAGGCTGAAAAAAGAGGTGTTCCGGGCTCAAAGGCAAACAGCAGAGGTGGAGAGAGGGCTGAGCAGAGAGTGCACAGAAGAAACGGCGGAGGCCAGGCCCGAGTACAACAGCACTGGCCTATTTAGCTGAGAACCTGGACAAAATCCCAAGCCAGCCGGAGGAGGGGACAGCAGAAGGCAGTAACTGAACAGAAATCCTGTGGTGAGTGGGCACCGGGATTCTTATATGCTGTCTCATCTGAAAGTCCCCACCAGGGATTATTCCCTTTTTACAAGTACAGAAACCACACCTCAAAGTTCCGGTATGGTGCCTGGGCAATACAGTCTCTCAGCAGCCCAGCTGGGGAAAGGACCAAGTTTGATTCTGCAGATATTAAGGTTGAGATGCCTGCAAGGGACGTACGTGGATGGCCATTTCCAGACAGTGGGTAAGAGGATGGGTCTGGACTTCCAAAGAGATGGGGGGGG